TAAATGCAATTGATATTTGACAAAGGAGGCAAAAACATATAATGGGGTGAAGATAGACTATTCAATAAATAGTGTTGGGAAAATTGGACAGATAAGTGCAAAAATAAAAAAAAAAAATGAAACTAGACTACGTACACCGCACACAAGAATAAACTCAAAATGGATTAAAGTTCTAGAAAATAACAAAATAACAAAATCTCAGACATTTCTCATAGCAATATTTTTTTCTGATATATCTTCTTGGGCAAGAGAAACAAAAGAAAAAATAAACAAATGCCACTATACCATACTAGAGAGTTTTTGTACAGCAAAGGAAACTATTAGCAAAATGAAAAGAGAACCAGGCTCTCTGCTCCCCTGTGCGTCAGACAGCCTCTCCTCCTCACTGGGCCAGCAGCCACAACCCTGAGACACGATGGTGAAGGTCGGAGTGAACGGATTTGGCCGCACTGGGCGCCTGGTCACCAGGGCTGCTTTTAACTCTGGCAAAGTGGATATTGTTGCCATCAATGACCCCTTCATTGACCTCAACTACATGGTCTACATGTTCCAGTATGACTCTACTCACGGCAAGTTCAAGGGCACGGTCAAGGCTGAGAACAGGAAGGTGGTCATCAATGGGAAGTCCATCTCCATCTTCCAGGAGCGAGATCCTGCCAACATCAAATGGGGTGATGCTGGTGCCGAATATGTTGTGGAGTCCACCGGTGTCTTCACTACCATGGAGAAGGCTGGGGCTCACTTGAAGGGCGGAGCCAAGAGGGTCATCATCTCTGCCCCTTCTGCGGACGCCCCCATGTTTGTGATGGGTGTGAACCATGACAAGTATGACAACTCCCTCAAGATCGTCAGCAGTGCCTCCTGCACCACCAACTGCTTGGCCCCCCTGGCTAAGGTCATCCACGACAACTTTGGCATCGTGGAGGGACTCATGACCACAGTCCACGCCATCACCGCCACCCAGAAGACCGTGGATGGCCCCTCTGGGAAGCTGTGGCGTGATGGCCGAGGGGCTGCCCAGCACATCATCCCTGCTTCTACTGGCACCCCACATGGCATCCAAGGAGTACGAGTCCCCTGGACCACCAGCCCCAGCGAGAAGAAGAGAGGCCCTCCGCTGCTGGGGAGTCCCTGCCCCAGATCGAACCCCTGACACACTGAGAATCTCCTGACCACACACTGAGAATCTCCTGACCACCGTTTCCATCCCAGACCCCCTGGAGAAGGGGAGGGGCCTAGGGAGCCCTGCTTTGTCGTGCACCATCAATAAAGTTCACTGCACCCACCCCCCCAAAAAAAAGAAAAGAGAACTAACTGAATGGGAGAACATTTTTGCCAATGACACATCTGATAAGGGGTTAATATCCAAAATTTATAAAGAACTTATAAACTCAACACCAAAAAGCAAAATAACAAATTAAATGTACAAAAGATCTGAATAGACACTTTTCCAAAGAGGACATACAGATGGCCAATAGACAATATAAAAAGACTAGATGCCCGGTTAATGAAATTCGTGCATGGGGGAGAGGTCCCCTCAGCCCGTCCTGCACCCTCTCCAATACGGAACCCCTTAGGGGATGTCTGACTGCCAGTCGGACATCCCTCTCACAATCCAGGACCACTGGCTCCTAACTACTCACCTGCCTGCCTACCTGATAACCCTTAACCACCTCTTCCTGCCAGCCTGATCACCCCTAACTGCCTGCCCCCCCAGCTGGCCTGGTCACCCATCACTGCCCCCCTGCCGGCCTGATCGCTCCACTCAACCTGCTGTCAGTCCCTCACTAACCCCCCTGCCAGCCTGTCACCACAGGCAGCCTGCTGGTCGTTACTGTTACTGTGACAGTGTCCTGGAAAATTTGCATATGCCTCTATTATTGGTATAGATGTTCAACATCACTTATCATCAGAGAAATGCAAATTAAAATGACCATGAGACATCACCTCACACCTGTCAGAATGGCTGTCATCAATAAATCAACAAACAACAGTTTTTGTGAGGATGTGGAGAAAAGGGAGCCCTCTTGCAGTGTTGATGGGAATGCAGATTGGTGCAGCCACTGTGGAAAGGTATGGAGTTACCTCAAAAAATTAAAAACGAAACTGCCTTATGACTCTGTGATTCCTCTTCTGGGAATTATCCAAAGAAACCTGAAACATTAATTAGAAAGAATATATGTACCCCTATGTTCATTGCAACATTACTTACAATACCCACAGGAATGCTGAAATGTAGTTTTGGTAAGTATATTAAGGTGTTTTGTCTCGCTACTTTAAATATGTTTAATAAATAATCACACCTTACAAAACATTAGATGGTATGATAAACTATGTAATTCAACAGCACATGACAGCTTGCATGTAACCTTTGTTAAATGAATAGTCAAACAGAAGCTTGGATTTTTGCCCTCTCCACTTGAATAATGCCATTGTCCTGGAAGTACGCGAGCAGGGAGAAACTGAATTGGTTCTATTGCTGAAAAGATAACTCTCCATATTGCTTATTCCAAGTGCTGGGAATTCCTTCTGTCCTCTTCTTACTGTGAACCTCATCTGAGGAATTCTTTGTTTTTGTTAAACCGTCAAGTAAACTTATATATAGTGTTAAGAACATGGTTGGCACATAGTGAGTGCTTTGTGTTAGTTATTATTACAAAGTCATATTCTTAAGTTTAACCCTCTTACTGAAATAGCCTTGGGAATCATGCACAGTTTTTAAAAAATTGATTCTTCAACAAATGGAAAAACCAAAAACATAATCTCATTCTCAGAAGTGCTCATTCTGTTCTTCATTTATTCAAGGGAAACACCATGACTTGATTGACTCTTAACACTAACTTTAGTGAGCAACTGGAAGCACTAATGTTTGTCACTTACACGTCTTAGACTAAATGCTTCCTGTTATTGTGAATTGGTGTTGAATTTCCTGGCTATGTGCATATGACAGGATAAGATCTAGAGTTCTTTTAAAGGGACCAAGCTGGATGAGGAAGAAAAGTTTTACTTTTGATGAGGAATGCCCCTGGTCTTAATAAGAAGTATTTCATTACACTGAACAAAAGAGAACTTCTGGTCACCTTCTAAAGGAAAACAAGCTTATAGCTTGGGAAACAGAGAATACAAGAAAGGGAGCTTCAGGATGAAGGGAAAATGAAATTCTTCTGATTAAGCAAAGAGTGATGAAGCTTCAGTCTTAAGATGGATGTGACGACCTCCTCACTTATTTTCCATACCATCTCCTCCTGCTCCTCTAGGCTTCTGTGCGTGTTTATTCCAGTTTTACCTTTCTTAAATGTCATGTGAGGATGCTACTTCCTTGTTCAAAACCCCATACTCATTTTCTTTTGCCAACACCGTGGGAGAGGGACTCCTTACTCTGCCATCTGTGATTTCTGAACTACATGGTCCCCATCTAATTTTGTATGTTCACTTCCTCCACTAGTTTTCACATGGCAGCCAAATGGTGCTCTTCCTAAATATGCCCCTCTCTGCTCCTGTCTGTCCCATTCATCATTGACTGTCAATGGCTCCTTTTAAGATCCATCTTCAATGACACCGCCTCTTGAAGATATTCTAATTCTTAACTGGAAATGATCTTCAGTGCCATTGAATCTCATAGTTCTTTGCATTTCTAGAAAGGCCTTCATCTTATTCTATCATCTGTAATAGGTAATTTTGTATTTATTTTTTCTGCTGACAATAGGCTCATTGAGAGCAGGGACTGAGTCTTATCCTCAGAGAGTTGATAGTGTCTTGCAGCTGGCAGAGCCTGTCAGATATTCAGAAGGGCCAAGGTCATTTGCATTATTGAGGCCCTTAGTATATTAAAAACTGAAGAAATGCCAGGGTTACAAAATTATGGTATATTTCAAATGTCACATTAGATGTACACATGTTCTGAATGGATGTGATTAAAACACATACATGCACCCAATAATCCCCAAAGTAATTGTGCTGTTCGTAAGATAATCATAGGATTTCTAAAACATTTAACTCATAGTACACTTCAATTGATGTGGTCTGGCAACTGGTCTGGTAATGTATAGTGACTGCCTTCTTGTAGTCTTATCAGTGTATCTCTGGGCCTGTGCATCATCTGAGGTCTGAGCCATAGGACCTCTGACTTTCTGTGTGAAGGGCCCTAACACATGGTGGACACCTGATAAAATAGTCACTAAAGTTAAATTTAATTATATGCCCAAAAGTGCTATCCTATCTAATAAAAGGCTAATATGCAAATTGACCTAATGGCAGAAAGACCAAGCTATGATGCTGTGACATGCAGTGACCACCAGGGGGCAAATGCTCAACACAGGAGCTGCCCTCTGGTGGTCAGTGGGCTCCCACAGTGGGAGCAGCTCAGTCAGAAGCCGAGCTCACAGCTGGCAAGTGCAGGGGCAGTGGCAGTGGCAGGAGCCTGCCTTTGCAGCAAAGCTAAGGATGTCCAACTGCCCACAGGGAGCCCCAGACTGTGAGAGGGTGCAGGCCCGGATGAGGGATTCCACCCCCACCCCCAGCACACAAATTTTGTGCACTGGGCCTCTAGTATATAAATATAATGCATTAATTCCTTTTTTATTTTGTCAGAGTATTCTTCAGAAATAAGATTGAAAGTTAATATTAACTTTGAATTTAATGCCTATAGTTTAACTTTTACTTATTTTACACTTGTCAGATCAAAGACCTAGACACTGGGGAGGAGAAAAAGTGCTCATTCTTACTGACTGACTAATGTCATGTGTATTCAGACATACATAAAGCAGAGAATTGTGCACAACTCTGACTCCTGATTTAGTAATGAGGATGAACATTGATGTCACTTAGCAAGATTTATTTCTTGAAACTAGGCTAGAAACAAAACATAATGAAGATTCCAAAATTATTTGGAATTCATTGCCATATGGGTTAAAGTTGATATCAATACTAAATCATTCTCTATTAGACATTATAATTTAAATTTTCCCAGTTAGAGATATCACCACTCTGAGGGGCATAAATACATACGCTGTTTATGTGATTCTCTTTTTAATATAGTGGCATAGAAACCAGGCACACTTAGAAGCATAAACTTATGATTAGAATTACCGTTGTTTATTTTTTGACATGTATGTATTGAGGTATTTCTTTTGAAAATTATTTAATATTAAAAAGAAAAAGAAAAAATGAAGAGGACTCTTATTACTAAACTAGAGGCCCAGTGCACGAAATTCATGCACTCAGGGGAAGGGGTCCCCCAGCCTGGCTTGTACCCTCTCACAATGCTGGAGCCCTGTGATTGATTGCCCCAAAGAGGTAGGCCCCGCCCACCCATCCAGGGCTCCTTAATGGATTGCTCCAAAGAGGTAGGCTGGAGCATGTCCTGCCTCCGGGGCTTGCCACAGGAAGCCGCAAAGAGCAGCCACTGGGGCTCTGCCCCTGCGGCACAAGTTTGGTGCCATGGGAAGCCCGCTCTGCTGTGCGAGCAGCCATCTTGTGACTGCGTGAGGCGATCATGGGTGAGGGCATGATGACTACTTAGCCTTTTATTAGTAAGGATCATAATCTGTATAAACAAAAGCCTAAGTGACTGTTACAACCTGATGACTGGCCAGTAGCTGTGATGCACACTGACCACCAGGGGGCAGACACTCAACACAGGAGCTGCTCTCTGGTGGTCAGTGCGCTCCCACAGCCAACCTCCCGCGGTCGCTTCCCCTGGCTGGTGTGCCCTGACCGGGACTGGGCAAGATGGCTCCAATTGGCCTCGATTGCTGTCCAGGCTGAGGGACGTATTCGTTTAGTAATAAGAAATAAAATGTGGTTATATAAACATTAGCTCTCAACCTTTTCTCCTAATCCCATACATCTGAGGGATTTGATATATTCTTATAAATATCAATAGTTCAAGTAGAAGTGGTAGAGATGGATTGGAAACACAGGAATGGTGAAATTACAATTAATTAAATTATACTAAATGCAGGTCATTCTGAAATGTCTTCCATAAGAATCATTTTTAAAAGACAGATAATTATATGAAAACTTAAAAAGATAACACTGTCAAATATATTGATTGATTTCAAATATATTAATTTACACTTATTTTTTAAATTTTTATTGTTGAAAAAATTACATATATCTCTTTTTTTCTCTCATTGAACCCTTATAGTCCATCCCTGCCCCCCAATGTTTTATTATACATTGAAAACATTTAAAAATCTATAATAGCAATAAAGGTTTTTAAGACTGGAAGTAAGTTGTAATGTAATGTACCCATATGTCTTCCATAGTCTCATTTTTTATTTATAA